ATTGAACCTTTGTTTAGAGGAGCATTATTTATTTTTCTAAAGTCGTCAAGTCTCTGTTTAGATGAGCATTATTTATTTTTTTCAAAATAGTCAAGCCTCTGTTTAGAAGAGCATTATTTATTTTTTCAAAGTCATTGAGTCTTTGCTTAGAAGAGCCTTGTTTTATTTTTCAAAGTCATTGAGCCTCTGTTTAGAGATGTTTTTATGAAGTATGAGTATGCTTTAAAAAAAACAAAAAAAAATATGTGTTGATTCCTGATTGGGTTGTCTATGTCTTTACACAATTCTTGTTTCACAAAAAATATGCAAAGAGGGATAACTGTAGACACCCCAATCTATTTGAGGTTTTACTTGGGTTAATTTTGTTAAAAAATAATAAAAAATAAAAAATAATGAAAAAATAGGTGGTTGAATTTATGTGAAATTATTTGAATTGGATTTGAGTTGGGATTTAAAGGAAATTGGGATTCTTTTTTGGATTGAGGTTCTTTGGATTATTTCCTATAAATATAGATTTTAAACAAGCCTCAGAACATACAAATCATGCATAAAAGTAGAAAGCAATCAAAAATAATTTTTGAAGATTTTTTAGGGTTTTTTTTAAAAAAGATTTTTTTGGACAAATCTAGAAAATTCCTAGATTTTGGTGACCTTTTTCAATTTTCAGTGAATTTTTCAATGTCGGTTGAATTTTTTAGTAGGTTTTCCAGAATCCAGTTGAAAATTTTGATGAAGTTTGAATTTTTTCACAAACTTCTGGTGAATCAACCCATATTCCAACAAAATTTTCAAAATCCAACGAAGATTTCACCAGAGTTCCTTGGGTTTAAAGAAAGAAAGAGAAAAGAGAAGAGGAGAGAGAGAGAGGGAAAAAAGAATTCAACTTTTTATACTTCTATCAAATGACGTTGTTTTGGGCTTTTAAAAAACCCAAGATTCACGCGTTTTCACTCAGGCTAACTCAACCCGAACACAACGCATTTCGTCAACCTGCGTCCTAACCAAACTCTTTAGTCGAGCTAAGTTAAGTCTTTGAGCTGCTTCTATACCTGAAGCCAAGCCGCGCCATATTCCAGTCGAGTCGTTTCTTTTTTTTTTTGTATTTTTTAAATTTTATTTAGTTATCTATTTATGTGTTTGTCTATTTTAAGGATATTTTTACATGATTAAATTTTAGGAAAAATATAAAACAAAATAAAATATTTTTTTAACAATAAATAATAATTATCCAACGATGAAATTTTTAGAAATTTCAAACAGTAAATTTTTTATAAATTTTCTAGGTAAAATTTTTTTCTAAATTTATCCCAAATGGTAGAATAATTTAGATAAAATTTCAATAATAATAATTAATGTTTATTTTAAAACTAGAAAAAGGGAAAAAATAATAATAAGTTAAATAAAAAATTTTGGTTGAAAATATTTGACAATTATCCAATGATGAGATTCTTAGAAATTTTAAATGATAAATTCTTAAAAAACCTTTAAGTGAGAAATTTTTTTAAATTTATCCCAAATGATAGAATAGTTTAAGTGAAATTTCAAGAAAATAATTATCATATTTTTTTTCCAAAGATAAAAAAGAAATTTCTAAATAAGCCTAAATGGTGAAAAATTTAGAAATGAAAAAGAGAAGATATTTCTAATTTGGCCCAAATGATGAAATAATTAAATATATTTTCAAAAAAAAATAATTAATTAATTAAATTCTTTTCCAATGACAGAGCTTCTTTAAGAAAACGAATGAGATTCTTGAATACTCTTGAAGTGAGAAAATATTTTTAAGAATTCTACCAGATTGATGGAGAATCTTAAGAGTTATTTCCAATATTTAAACATGAAAGCTTAAAACTATTAGAATTAAGACCTTAGGATAAATTTAAAATTAAATGGTACCATCCTTCGGATGGGCATGTGGGAATACTATACCTTTCGAACCCTGTTCTGATTAGTAGACTAGAACCTATTCTTTTAAGGATCCTTAGTCCAGCTTAGGAGCTCCTTAAAAGGATAGATTTATTAGGTAGCCAATCACACCTAGTTAAAAAAAATTAGTGGTGACTCATTAGGTTAAGTTCAGCTATAGATTTATGAATCTATATGTTATGACACCTACTTTTGATATCTATATATGAATGGCTCACCATTTCTTTGAAATGGTAAGTTATACCAAAACAAATATTAGTTCTGGCAATTGTAGTAGCTGAATAACTCAAAAAAATATTTTATAGCTTCAATGGATAGATGATTTTACTTTGATTGAAACTTGACATTTTGTAGTAATGCCTTATATGTTTAGAAGAAAAATAAGTTTAATAAATCATCCTAGTGTGCCTACCAGCTGTTTGGTTTATGGTAGCCTTATGTCTTCATAGTGCAATAGCAAAAGATCATAAGAAGCTTGAGACACATTGTTAAACTATAGAGACTAATTATTATACATGCCATCCATAATAATAATAATGAAATCAAAGGTATATTTATGTAGGGCAGGTAGGGTAGAAAAAGCACCATTTTTTGTTCTATCTTGATTATTATACTGAGACATTAATTGCCACATGCTCAGCTCCCTCTATCTAATTGTTTGAAATTCTTTATAAGAATTATTAGATTGAAAATTTTAGTTCATTTTCAATACTTTACTACTTATCATGCTCTCAGTTTTTTGTTTAGGTTTGTATTGAGAAACATTCCAAACCTAATATTTATCTTTATGGTAATAGAAACAAAGCAATGGGAATAAGCCAAACAAAATAGAACTATTTTTTATGACTCGTCAACATAAAGATGAAAGCTTTATGGATGTTGTTGCTGCACAAGTTGTTGTAAGTGGTTATTTGATTATAAAATTGCATTTCCTAGTTGAATATCCATTGCTGCCCTAACTTATTGGATGAATATCTTATAGGAGAAGTTAAAAGAGTTGTTATCTTAATGTTCTACCAACTTGGAGCAATCACAAGCAATAACTTTTTCAATGGTTGAGGTTTTTGTTGAAGTCATGAGAAAAGAACATCCTTGTTGTGTATGAGGCTTGGGATTAGGCCTTGCACCTACAGAGATTTGGAGTTTGTCTTCTTGCCACTTCTAAGCTTTGAATGAGGTCTAAAATAGTAGAGATGAAGAAATACTTAGGCGCCAAGAGAAGTTGGAAGCTATGACCAATAAGATTGCCAATTTGGAAGAAAAAACAGCTAAAGTGTTAGAGTTTGAAGAAAAAATTTCAAAAGTGAGCAAACTTGATGTCATAATAGCTTTACTTAAAAGGGTGAATGTTGAGTTAGTTAAATTTGCAACTGCCATGCAAAAGAGATTTTCACATGTGCTAAGTGTGAACATCAACTCAGTTGCGATACCAATGGGCAATAGATAGGTAACAATAATAAGTAATATTATTAATTAGTAAATAATAGTTATTTATTAATCTAGAAATTGTATTATATTGGAGGTTTTAGATGCATCGAGTTCATTGGGATCACTTGTGTAAATAACTAAGAAAAGATGGAAACTTTGAGGATGATGCTATTGTATTGGTATTTTGATAACTTTTTGGTGTTTTGGTACTTTCGGTATTTGTTATACTATTGGTTCTCGATTTAATGTATTCAGGCAAAATGTTATGCATGTGCTTTTGGTATAGGTAGGACATGATCTTTTTGGTTTTTATGTGATCATTGCCAAATGATCTAATTAATGTGTGTGTGTGTATATATATTTATAACTGTTGTTTGTTAAGTACTATCATTCTAATTTCAATTTCTAGTTTTATAAGAAGGGATCTATATATATAATAAAAGATTAGAAAGAAACGAACCAATTTTTTATCCTTTTGTGTAATGCATTGGTTAGGGTTAAGGACAATAATGCAATCTAAGATTTTAATTCTTCTTTTGGACATAGATATAACATGGATTAATATGAATCATACACATTAATTTACAGACCTTATAATTTGAAGCTAAACAACTTTGCAGACATAACAACAATAACTTAAAGAGATCTGTCATATCTTTTTTTTTTAATATGAAAATTATTTTGAAAAATAAAGTAAGATATTTAGGGGTGATTTTAAGTATCAATATAGCTCACTTAATAAATATAAAAAATTTAAATAAAACGTATCTTTAACTGGCACTTTAAAATGCCTTTAAAAGGTTTTTACTTACAATGACAGTTTAAAATGTTGAAAAAACTTATGCTGTTAAATACATGTATAACTTCGATACTGGTGGTTGGATTGCTGAAAAGTTTTCATCGACATTTACTTAGCCCACGACAAAAAAACTATTGGCAATAATAATAGCAACGCTTTTTTAATATCTTACTGGCACTTATAAATGTCAGTAAAAATGTGTTGTGCATAATATAAAAAGTGATTTAAAGATCAAAAGTAATAAAGTAAAAAAAAAATAGCTACTAAAATAAAAAGAGAAATTTATGAATTCTTTATCTTGGAATAATTTGTAACATTTTAATTAGAGATGATAACACCACAAATATGTAAAATACAAAGAAAAATAAATTTATAATTTAAACAAAAAATATAAATAATCAAATATAAAATATAATAAAAATAAATTTCATAAGGAGAATTTATATGCAAAAATGCTAATAAACACAATGTGATATATAAATTAAATTATTATTTTACTTTATAATGAACAAATATATATTCATATATCTAGCTTTAATTTTATCGTAAAAATAATAAAAAAAAGCGACAACAATTAATATAAAAATAGAAAGTAGAAAGGTAAAGCTAAAGCAAAGTTGAATAGCCTGGCCATTAGTAATTATTTAATATATTATTATCAGTTAATAGTAATTGTTATTTTGTCTAATACTACCATTATTTTTTTTGAATACATTTTGTTTGGCTTTTAATTTTAATGTCGCTATTATAATTCTTAGAGCCCATCTGATGACACTCACAACGCGGTACGAAGTCATTCATCCCACGCTGAAACCGCATTTGGGTGGAAACGCCACTAACACTTTCAACTGCCAGTGCCATTTTGGCTACTCATTGAGGTTCCGATGAGGGAGAATGAAATCCTCACCTTAAATGTTGCACTATCAATCTTACGGTAACTACTGTTTTCATTACGGGGCTAGCATCATGGTGTAGAATAGGAGGTGAAGCAAACGCGATAAATAACAGCGTGGAGTAGCTTACGAAAGTATGGAAAGAAGTAACCGAGGGCCAGACGGGCAGTGCAGGTTCAGAGCTTCTCCTTGTTTGTACGCTAAAAATCTTAAAATCACGCTCTCCTAAGTGATTACTCTTTCTCTCCCCCGAGTACTTCTCCATTTCAATCATTGTAAGCAAATGGCCATTTAAAACCCACTGGAAATACACCTTTCACTTCCATTACTTAACACATTGATTATTCAAAACCAACATAATAATAATATCCCCTCTCTTTACTCTTTTATTGCTTTAATTCTCCGTTCTATATTTTCTTTTCTACTAGTAGCAGTTTTCTTTTCTTTCCTTTTCCCCGGTAGAAAAAGCTTGCCACTGTTCTTACTTCTTTAACTGCTACTTATTCTCTTTCCCACTAGCTCAGACTCTCTTTCTCTAAGCTAGAGAAAAGGATTCTTTGTAGACCCACATCTCTGATCTTTCTTTCTTTCTTCTTCATCATCGTCTTCCTTCTCGTTGTCTTAAAAGCAATCAACCATGGAGGAACTGTGCGGTTTCCATTCTTCGGCTACTACAGCTGCTTACTCCATGGAGACCCAAACGGAAAACGTATTAAGTCCTCCTGGAAAGCACCCAGGTTTTCCGTCTCAGGCTGTTGCTTTTCCGGAGCATGTGTTTGGGTCAGGGCAGTTGCTGTCTGGTTCGTCTGGGATATCAGATGCTGATTCAATGGTTGCGGAGATTCAAAGAGGTGGCTCTGAAGAAGAGGTTTCTAGTGCAATTAGGGCTAAGATTGCATCTCACTCTCTTTACCCTAAACTTCTTCAGGCCTACATAGATTGCCAGAAGGTATATTAATATATGTGTTTGGTTGTTAAGAAACTGGTGGATAATAACAGAAGGAAAAAGGCATAAAGAAAAGTGAAAAGAGAGAGAGAGAGAGAGAGAGAGAGAGAGAGAGAGAGAGAGAGAGAGAGAGGGAGGGAGGGAGAAAACCCCTCATTCATCTTAGCTGAAGCTGAGGAGACTCGAATTTAAACAAGGCAAAGTTGCGTTTACAAGGGGAAAAAGAAAAAAACGATGCTCGTTTGGCACATTTATGGTTACTTTTTGCATTAGATTCTACGATGATATACAATGAAGGAGGTTTCAGTGTACCTGAAGAGTCGTATATATATATATATATATGTAGCACTTGCATGTGCTCTTCTGGAACAATTGATTTCTCTTTTTTATGCCTCTTCTCAGCTCTGAACATCAACTTTCCCGCCGTCTTTCCTTTTTCTAGTCCTCTATTTTTTTTTCCTTGATTTGTTTTAATTTTATAGCTTGAATCTTGTATAATAATCTGGTTTGCAAAGACAAAGCTTATTCAACCCCACCCCCCTAGGCCTGCAAGATAAGAGAAAGAAAGAAGGGAAAGTGAAAGGGAAAAAAGGAAAAAGAAAGGGTTACACAGTTTTTTTTTTTTTTCAAATTTGTTTCACATATCTGTTGACTGTTGATTGTGGGGATTGAGCTAAGGAAGTCTTATTTTCATTTTAATAATTATGGTCAGGTGGGAGCACCGCCGGGGATAGCGAAAATGTTAGATGAAATCGATGGAGGAAGCGACGTTAGCAAGAGAAGCGACATAGTTCCGAGTTGCTTGGGTGCCGATCCCGAGCTTGATCACTTCATGGTCTCTTTCCCTTTCATTCCTTTACTCTCAAAATACACCCCAAACCCTAATCAAACAAAACGTCCCTTTCTTTACTTACAAAATCCAGTTTTAGATAACTTTGTGTCTTTTATTTTTTGTTTGTTTGAAGGAAACTTATTGCGAAATGTTGGTGAAGTACAAATCAGATCTGTCAAAGCCATTTGATGAAGCTACCACATTTCTCAACAGTATTAAAACGCAGCTTTCTCATCTCTGCAATGGTGATTAACTATTACTTACACAACTTTCATTTCAGCTTTCTCTCTCCTATTTTTTCTAGCATTATTAACCTCATCATCAGCATGGTCAATCGGTTTCATCATCATCATCATCATCTTCTTGTTCTTGTTCTTATTATTATTATCCTTTGAAGTGTGTTTCAGTTTTCGATTTTTCTATGCAGTTTGTTGTTTTTTGTGCCAGTGATTTTATTTATTTGTTTCTATATTCCTTCCATGTGTAAAAAGTCTGACTGCCTGATATTATATAGGCGCAATTTAGTAAAAACCTAGTGCATTTTAGCAACCTAATTAATCTCAAGGAATATTATATATATTAGTGGCGGCTTTCTTAGCTGAGGTGTTTTTTTTATTTTTGGGTGAATAAATGTTCCTAAATTTCTATTTTCTGTTGATAACCAGTTATAAGAAACCCAATTTTGTCACATATATGACCTCCAATTTGCTTCTAATATGGCATAATATGCATAAGAAATGTCTTGCTTTTTTTTTTTTTTTTTTGTAATTTAGTTTCAAGTTCAATTTATTATTCTAGTAGCCTTCCAAAAATAAACTTCTGTTAATATGCAATAATGTACTGTAACTTGCTTCTCTCCAATTCCAACAGTCAAGTTCACTACCATAGATTATGCAACAAATCATATCTATATGAGAGTTGCGAATTTTCCTAGATCTCATGACGCTTTTATGTTCCATTAGGGAACCACTCTCTTCATACTAATCTATTTTGTGTATCAAGGGCTTATTTTAATTAGGATTTTCTATTAAATTGTATTTATAGGTTCTTTTGAATCCTTGATTTGTTTAGTAAAACCATGAAATTAGTTTCTCCGTATTTTAAAAATTTTCACATTATGATACACATACGCCAAACACATACATGGTATTGGTTACTAGCAAATAGAGAAACAAGATTAACCATCATATATATCATTGTTCATTTTTCTAACATTAATTGTTATGATAATGGAAACTGGTTTTATATCAATAGCTATATTTTTCTCTAGATTTTATGTTACACAATACCTTCATCTGGTCTTGAAAGTGCATTCAAAGTTTGAGAATTGTATGTATTTGTGAATAATTTATGAAGCCATTTCTAAGTCTCTCCTTATTCTATAGTAAAATTTAAAAACAGTGTATAAGGCATTGTTTGGCTCTCAAAATGGAGTGTTTCTTAGTTAATTACTAAGGTGGGATAGGACAAACATGCTTTTCATAGATAAGTGTAGAGGAAATTACAAAATTATGTCCTTGAGAACACAACCCATACATATTTGTCTATAAGATAATAGTGGACATTAATGTAACAAAGTTCTCATCCATGGAAATAGCCGCAACCAGAGGCGGACCGTAGTAATAGTTTGAGGGGGCCTTGACGCCCCAAAATTTTTAAATTCTTTCAATATCTATGTTATAATAAAATGAAATGGCCCCCTCAAACTAAAATCATTAATTTTATTTATTTTTATGTGATTTTATAATTTAGTTTTATTCATTGAAATTAATATGTATTAAATCATATTATTATTTAGCTATTTATTCATCAACAAATCATTATCGACAAATTTTTAAAACTAAGAAATTTGTCACAAGCGTTAAATCACAGTAATATAAATTTAATAAAAGCCAAATTAACTTTCTAGTTTCTCAAATAAGATTGAAGGTTTCCAACAAGTATTAAACATATTTTTCTATGTTTTTTAATTGATTACAGTTTCATTTTTCCATATAATTCTTCACTTTTAATTCTATCTTAGATTTTTTTTTTTCTATCATGCAATATTTTTAACACAAAAGTTAAAATGAAACCACTTTATTTATAAGGTTAGAAAAAATCCTAACTTTTAATATTGAAGTTTCAAACTTTATTCTTTTAATTATGTAGTTTATTTTTCTTGTTTTGATAAAAAATATATATTGCTTAACAATTAATTTACTTAATACTTTTTTAAAAGAAAATCACTCACAATTGTAAGAAAGATTCACAATATTAAATAAAGTTATTTATTTAATGTATTATGTTTCTTTATATATTGCTTTATAGATTGATAAAATTTATAATTTTGAAAACATGTACATTTGGTTAGTATATTGCTTGCATGTATATATTAATAATATAATAAGATATATTCTATGAAAATTTTTTAGATTCAATATACTATCAGTTGGCTCCCTCGTAGAAGACTATCAAGATCCGCCACTGGCCGTAACCAAGTACTCATCCATTGAAGTGACCATAACCATCATTCTTTGCTTCTTATTTAGGTGCAATTTTGGTGGACCATCGTGAAATACAATCAAAAATAATCTGCATGTTTCTTATGGAATAGTTAGTAATCCATTGCTTTTGCAATGTGGGCACATGCATTTAGTTCTCTAGCTCCCACTTAGTTCATTTTTAAAGAACCTGTCATTAGAATGCAGCTCTTTTCATATTTGTAATGGCAGTGTCCTATAATGATGTCTGATTTTTGTTTAATAGTGTCCTACTAGTGCATGAGCTGCAGTACTATTTATATAGAAGCCTGGGCCTGCTAAATATTTCTTTGCACTTAAAAAGAATAGTTTCCAGCAGTTTCATGGGTATAAAGTAAAACCTGATCTGAAAGAAACTACCTTTTCTCTGTGATCATCCTCATCATCTATACAGATAGATGACTGATAGAATCTTGTAATGAACACGAGATATCAACAGACTCAAGTACCAATTTTGGGTTCCCAAAATATTGCTTTGTTGTGGGGTTTTGATCTAATCTTCAATTCATTGCTTTTAATTCTACTAGTTGCTGCTGATTTCCTACTTTTAAGACTATTTTTGTTACTAAATAACTATTGATTGATAGGCTTTTTACTTGGTACAGATAGACTGTGTCTCCAAAATGTTATTTTAGTAATACTTTTTTGTGGTCAAGGCGAAAATGGCACCCATATTGTATTGTCTCAAACTATTTTTAGCATCACTTAACGAGAAAGGTGCTTTATTGCATGCTGCTTTTAGTTGTGCGGCTTGGAGGTTATGGATTTAGTTTTAGTACGAGGATATTTAACGTGGAGAACTAGCAATAAATATATGTTAGAAGCAGGCATGCGTGAACCTAAAGTTCAAGTTTTGAAGGAGCACATTCTGGTGGAAGTATACAAGTGTGATTAGATCTTGAAGCTCATTGGCAGGCTTTATGTACTTTTTCAGTTAATTACATGATTAAGAGGTTCTTCGAGTTTTCTTTTACGACAATAGGATACCTTCACTACATACTTTTCCGCTGGATAGATACCACACTGTAGCAGCACATGTTCCTGTTTTAATACATAGAATAATTTAACTACTATATCAGAAGCGAGAGTTTGAAAGTGTAGAAACTTGTAAAATAGTATCTTAGTGTATGTATGCAAAATTTTTTTGTTATGAACATCTAGTCCTTTTGGTCAAGGTGATTAAATATTGTCTTATATATACATATTGCCATGATAATATAATTTATGAAGTTATAGAGTGTCTAAGGATTTCATTGATTTGCTTGCAAATTGGTAGTTGTCTTATATTATATATCTTTAGAAATCTCAATATGCATCTGTTTTAGATGTTCATTTGTTGTTATTTATGCTAAACGCATTTTTAAAATATTGCTTGACTTCCATATGATTGGTAGTACTTTTTTCTTAGTTTTCTTTTTGGTGGTTAAGGGGATATGTGGTAATCTCATCATCATAAGAAGTATTATAGATGGAGTGGATGAGTGTAGATAATTTGTTATAACTTTGTCACCTAACTCATTCAATTACTGTTGACGTCTCCTATGGCGCACTCAGATCATACCAATGGCTACATAATTTAGTTTTCTTTATTGCTTTTGTACATAGTCTAAAATAGTTAGTACCTGGCAACCAATGTTTCCCTTATTATCTTTAGGCCTTTTTATGCATTCCTGTTCATTATTTAAGTACAGGTTTCTCTAACACTCACAACCAAATAGGTATGTAAGAGCTAAAAACGGGTTTTGATTTATGACACTCCATTAGTTTCTTTTTAAACTAATCTGATTTGCTGTATGTTAGCTATTATGTGGCTTCTTAATTCCATTTCAGTAAGTAGTGATGTAAATCTTATCTATATCCAATAGGAAACCCGATCTTTTACCTGAATAGGGATGGGAATGGATATGGATATTACATTGTGGGTATAATGATGGAGATAAGTCTGATTTTAAATTTTTATTTGGGTATGGGGATGGTAACAAGTAATATAACACTCGTACCTTACCTGTACTCCATATATATTTAGTAAATTGATTTTTTATTGAATAATATAAATTATTATTTTGGATTATTTAGAATTAATATATTTTTTATTAAAATATATATTAATATATATTTATAAAAAAAATGACCTAAATATATAAGATAAAAATAAAAAAGATAAAAAGATAAATTTTAGTTTTTTTTTTTTAAAAAAGCTATGGGTATGTAGTTATCAATATCCATTAAATATTTGCAAGGAAGATAGATTTTAAATATCCATTGGAAAATGCTCTACATACCTCATATTCTACCCATTGACATCCCTATTAGCAAGTAACTAAACATAGTTCCCTTTTTCATCTGATCACATTTCTCATTTGTGGTTCTCTGTATTCTAATCATTGGTCTCACAGCACCAACTATACTGTTTCTTTTCGATTTAAAAATCAAAAGACTAATTGATAATAAATGGATGTATATATTGTGGTTAGATAAAGTTTGCAGTGAATTTGTGTCGTTTGGGATGTAATAATCCTAGTAAGGTTTACTTTGTAGTATTTATTGACAGCAGAGATGCATAAGCTTTTAAATTAATTTCTTGCCTTGTTAAGTTGCCTATATATTCTTTAATATAAATATTATTATCATCTTATATCTAAAGGGTGGAGCTTTAGAACTCCACAAACGGGTTTATATACTTGTCATGTGTCTAATGGTTATGAATAAGGAAACTAACAAGTTAATTGGACAATTTAATTAATGAAAATGTGACAAAGTGAAGTTTTGAAACTCGACTATCAGTGTATAGGATACTATTAGTATTAATTTTCTTTTATTTAATTTAGAGACAACAAAGGTCTAAAGATCTATGTCCAAAGAAGCAACTAGCCTTTAGCGGGAGTAAAGGATATAGATGAGGACTAAGTGGAATTTTACAATTATATCGGTGCTATAATATAGTTTTTGTGTATTTTTTAGACTATGATTAGGGTTGTAGACAGGTTTATCAATGTTCTCTTTCTTCAACTGCAACCATTATCAGGTTATGAACTAATTCCAAACCTAAAAATAAAAGTTGAAATTTGTGGTCATAAAATGGTCACAGCATGTGAAAGAGCTCTGGGGTCATGCGAGGATGCTTCCCATTCATGGATGTATTGAGATACATACATATATATATATATATATATATATACACTCTTTCATCCGTTTGCATTTAAGATTTCAGACATGAAACGACAGTAAGGTCATGTCTCATGTCCTGATTGGAGCTTAATTTGCAGGTGGTAAGATTCTCTCTTAACGATTCATCCAATTCTTGGCCGGATTTTATTTTTTAAAAATTTTGGAAGATTTCTGGATGAAGTTTTTTCTTGTAGGTTATTGGAAGATATTCCATTCATATGTTAGATTGTTTTTTCTTTATGCATATGTCAGTTAAACTATTCCTTTTTTTTTTATGCCATGCCTATTTTTATAAACTAAAATTAATTACTTGAGCAGTTTTCGCTGAAGATTATAGATTCAGCTAATTTGTTAGAAGGCTTTGCATTAATTTTTTTGGTGCTGAAAGACCAGAAATTTTGTAACTACTACTTAATACTAGAGCCTAGATAAGAGCATTCTGAAAGATTAAAGTGGTCATAAATGAGCGCTAGAGTCAGGAGTCTCCCCCGCAGTTACCGCTGCCAAGTGTAGCCAGCTTTCGAGCATTGAATCACTGTCAAAACCTGCATCGCTTCTTGTCTAGCTAATTCCGTGGGCTCATTCTGATCGCATGTGCCTAGAAAATTAACCCAACTTAAACCCCAAGGAAACGACGTAGTAGTAGGAGCCCCTTCACCGGGAATAAGTATCCTTGACCTTTTTCCAAGGTTGAGGGAATTACTGAGTCTGCTGCATAAAAACACTATTTTGAAAAAATCAAGCTTTTTAATAACTTTAATTTTATAATAATGTTTTATTCTGTTCTTGCTGAACCGAGAACTGACTGAAAGAGTGTTTGACAGAAACTTTGAAATCCCAAAACCCAAAAGCAGTGCGTGCCTTGCGGGTTAGTACTGCACGGTGCACACGCACGCGGAGCTCCTATCTTTTCTTTCTTTTTTTGACTGTCGCAAAAGCTATGTGAACAACGCCACCCTAGCTCTGACTTGGATACGACGTAACGAACACTCCATTGTCTTTTTGTTTTTTTTTCTCCGGCAGTTTTACTTAGAAAATGAATGTGGATCCCTTACCTGCTAACTACAATTTGGTGAAGCATGGCTCAGAGTTACATTAAATCACATCTGGGAACATCGATGCTTGCCCTCCATGTGGTTTCTGTCTACTTCCCCATTTAGATTTGTCTTTTCCTAGAAAAAAATAATAAGAAAAGGAAAATAATAATGGCCAAAAAACATCAAGGTGGGCATCTTTCGACGGTCTGGTCTGGCCTGCCCTGTGAAATTGCATTTCATGTGGTAATTTTCTGTTTAGCGTGGCAGGATAACGGGGCTTAGCTAACATTTTGTTTGGGTTGGGGGAGGAGGGTTTAGGTGGCATGAATTGGAAACATGGTTTATAACTTAGTTCAAATGGATTGCTCAATGCTCACTTAGGCTGCATGAGTTATCAGTTCTTTTTTGCTATATTTACCATTGTATCTTGGAATGTTTTGCTGGAGAAATTAGAGTCTAGGTCCTATAGTTGTGCCCCTTGGCCGTAAACTTTCATCTGTTTGATCAATCCTGGTCTCATGAATATTGTCTTACTAGATGAAGCTGCGGGATCATCTGAAGAAGACTTGAGTGGAGGTGAGATGGAAGCACCGGAGGATTACCAGATAAATGAAGAGCGTGAATTTAAGGAGAAACTCTTACGGAAATATAGTGGTTATATTAGCACGCTTAAGCATGAATTTTCAAAAAAGAAAAAGAAAGGAAAACTACCTAAAGAAGCAAGGCAGATATTGCTTGACTGGTGGAATGTTCACTACAACTGGCCATATCCTACGGTAAACATGTCTCTAAATCACTACCTCTAGATCAGTGAATTTTTTTCATGCTCTTGATGAAATTAAATTACATTCTTTTGCGACTTACTTCAGTCAAATTTAATGACGCAGGAAGTGGACAAGGTTGGCCTTGCTGAAGCAACAGGGCTAGACCACAAACAGATAAACAACTGGTTTATAAATCAAAGAAAACGTCATTGGAAGCCATCGGAGAACATGCAAATTGCTGTTATGGACAGTTTATATGGGCCGTTTTTCATGAATGACTAAGGATTGCCTGTGTCTGTATATATTCTTGTTCCGGAACTTTGATGTCGAACGAAATGCTTATAATCATTATCAAAACGATTGAACAATTTGTTTATTCTGATGTATTATGTTTTGCTTGCGTAGATTCAGAGTCTAATTCTTGCCGCACCATGATGATATGCTGCCCCAGTTGTGTTCTGCATGGAACTTTTCCATGTGTGTCGCTACCACTGATTTTCATGCTCAAGCAAAACAATTTTGCATTCCATTGGATTGAAAATCATCTAAAAACAGTAGCAAATTAACTCATTAGAAAAATTTTCCGATCACAAATAATCACAAAACAGTACATTTTATCACCATACAATAGCCATTGAGGTATAACATTAAAACAATCATATTGCTTTGTTTAAATCTGTTGAATCAATTCTTAATTCATCGAAATTAGAATTGAATCAATACAATTTAATTTTGATAAATCTCAATTTATATAAACATAAATCAATCGAAACTCAAAAACAAAACGCTTTTGAAATCTGGTAACATTCTAAGCACAAAATCATTGATTTCACAAACAAATCAAGACTCTGATGTCAAGGGTATACTTGTCACAAAAACATACATTCCATAATAGAGTTGCACATCGAAAAATAAAAAAAGAAAGTCGAATCCTAACAAAGGATCTATTTGTTGTGAACAATATCATTGACATCGTACAATTTCAAACATGAATCTAGTTATACCTCAAGTTATGGATTGACAAAAAATCCAAAAACTCAACTTCCTTCGCTTGAATTTTGTACACAAAGGCTCGGTTGTCGTATAACAAAACCGTCCAAGAGTCGATCTCTAACAGTAAATCTACACAGATGACTGATGCAGGCCCAAATCTATTCCAAAGCTACAATCCAAGTTCTTAAGCCATTTACTGATTATAGAGTTTAGTTAAAAACCTAGTCAAGTGTGGTTAGTTAAGAATATCAATATGTAATTAGCAGAGTGAACATTTTGATAAACAGAAATGGGTATATAAGGAATAGATGAGCATTGTACTAAGGCAAGGAATTTCAAAACAGAAAATTTCAATCCCTCTCGGTTACACCAACCCTCTCTTCTCTCTTTGTTCTCTTCCTCGTCTTCTTTCTACTATCATCTTTGATCTGTTGTCATCTAGATTTTTTGAGCTGCATCATTTGGTATCCGAACTCGATTTTGGCATGGAGATCGGTATGACAATGTGGTGGCAACAGCCGAGCCCCGAGGAGCAACGACGAATTGAGCCACGCCAATTGCTCGAGGAGTTGATGCCAACAATAGATGCTATATTTGATAAATATACAAAGAAACCCAATCCATCGGAGCCACTTCCAGCGGTTCATAAGCTTGTTAGCCAAGTCACCATTGAAGAATACTCGGTTAAAGATGAGTACACTAACCTCTAGGAAGAATCAATGAACCCAACCATGGTAGCCACCATTGATCCCGAGGAAGAATTGATGAACCCAAACATCGCAGCCACCTTTGACCAAGGAAGAATTGGTCCATCCAACCATGGTAACCACCATCGATCGTTCTCCCATATCTTCAACTGCTAATTTACCAACGGCCAATCTCCTTGATGAGAAAGGAAAGCTTCTGGAATCTGCTAGTAGCTCAATACAAATATGGAAAGAGGATGACTATATTAAGCAATCATCAACGAACATCTGGCATGCAAATTGTTCAGCCATGAAATTAGCATGCCCTTTTGCAAACTTTGAAGGGAAAGAGGTGAAGGGTAATGGATTTGCAGCTACTTGTTCACTCGTGAATGTAAATGGCTCTTCGGTCACAATTTTTGGGAATGGCGATTCAAGAAGAAATATTGTCGTCTGGATGGACCATAGAGCTGTGAAACAAACTGAAAAGATTAATTCTCGTAACCTACCAGTGTAACAATACTGTATTGGATCTGTTTCACCGGAGATGCAGCCATCAATGCTTTTATGGGTAAGAGAAAATTTGCAAAAGTCTTGGTTAATGGTATTTAGGCGGATGGACTTGAACGATTGGTTGCCATACAGATTAACTGGAGATGATACACAAAGTTTATGCACCATAGTAGGTAACTGGACATATTGTGGTCATGTGCACATATAACAGATGAATGAGAAAGATTCTCGAGCCATGGGAGCTTATGGATGGGATGATGAATTCTGGAAGGAGTGGGCTTAGGTGATCTAGTTGAGGGTTGTCATGCTAAGATTGGACGAAGTGCAGTTTTCCCTGGTCATTCTTTAGGTTTTGGGCTTACTTCTAATGCTGTAAAGGAATTGAATCTGCTAGTTAGAACATTTATGGTAACATGGTTGATTGATGTTCATGCTGGGGATGTAATGGTATTGGAAGGCATAATCGAGATAGATTCTGAACTTAAAGAGAATGATAATGAAGCTATATGCCATGGTATGGTGTTGGTCTATGGCACTTTTACTTGTCACATGGCATTATCACGGGACAAGCTGTGTATTCCTGGGTATAGGGACCATTTTGGTTAGGAATGGTACTTGAGTATTGGCTCACAAAAGGGGGCAGAGGGCTACTAGGGCATTATTGAATTAAATAATTGAAAACTATATTGCTTTTCCTCAATGTGCAAATCATGCTGCCTTTCAAAATACTTCCCTATTTTTGCTACTGAACAATATGTTAGAATCTATGACGTGTGAGATGCAATGTTCGTTTATTGCTACTTTGATCCAAGATGTACATGTCTTTCTTGACTACCGTGGAAAGAGGTCTCCCATTGTAGGTCCAAAAGCAAAAAGAGTAGTTTTTGGATTGACTCTCGACATTTGTAAAGAACGGTTGGCTCGTTTATACCCTGCCACAATGCATGCTCTTACATAGGTACACGTCAGAATACAAGCTCTTCTCTTAACATTTAGTAGGAGATTGAAATTGTTATGGGCAAAGACAAACCTTTGAAAGTTGTTGGAATTAAGGCATGGGAAGACCATTAGGGTGAGCAGCTATCTGGTTTCTTTCATTAATAATGAGTAGGTGTAATCTGAGGGTTCTCGCTGTGTCAAGCAACTAATCATCTATGGTGATGTTAGCCGCCGCGAGCCTATGACTGTTTTCTGGCCGTCTATTGCCCAAATCGTGACTGCATGCTCAATTAAAGGAATGTTTATTGGTCCTGTCACTATCCTTATTTGGCCTTTTGTCAAAAATGATCAGCCTAGATTTGAAACTTACTACTAGATTTCCTTGGCCATCAAGGACGAAGTACAGGATCTTGAGATGGCTGGTATCAATGTGATCCAAGTTGAAGAAGCCACTTTGAGGAATCTTCATTTCGTTCGTTTATGTTACAAACTCCCAGGTGGATTTATTAACCAATTGAGGGTAATGTGGCTCCAGAGAAATCTTTTCCTTTGAAAGATTGGTCTTGCTAATCTCTTTGACAAAAAATTGCTCCCTTCTATCAACGACCCTCACTCGGAGTTTGACTTAGAGGAGTCGGCTATAGTCGTTATAACAATTCCTCTAATACTATGTTTGAAGGTTTGATTGAATTTTTTGGTCATACTGGTGTAGGAAAGATAGTCCTTATTAAGAAATTTATTAACAAGGTCACTCAAGCTCCTGATGGTTTCTTAATGTAATTTGTTGGTGTTGGAAAACATATTTGAAAGATAATGACTTGCACCTGGAAAGGATTGTGAGTGGTGTTATTAAACAGGCAGACAGCAAGAGTGCTCTTGTATATGGTCAATTAGATAAGCTTTCTGGTACTATTGTTAGTGTTGGCTTTTTAAGTTTTATTATGGTTAAACTAGTTGAACACTTCAGTGGTGTTGAAAAAGCAAAGTCAATTTTGGCTGCAAATAGACAAAATGAGGATTTCTTTTCAAGAGATTCAACTTGGAAGTGCTTAGCTGAAATGGAGAAAAAAAAAATCCAAACTTTTATCCCTGAGGACAAGGATGTTTTGAAGGGGTATTGATGTAAGCCTAAATCTATTCCAGAGCTACAACCTAAGTTCTTAAGCTGTTTACTGATTATGAGTTTAGTTAAAAAGTTAGTTAATATTAGAGATTTTTAAAATAAAATATAAGAAATAATTCCACGTTAAAAAAAAAAAAGATAGATAATTAAGTTTATTCAAAATAGAGAGACAAGTTTGTTTAAAATGAATAGCTTCAATTGTTTAAAAATAAATAATTTTTGTCTATTCAAAATAGACAATCATATCTACAGAAAAGGACACTTATCTGTTTATAAAAGGCTTATATGATTTTCTAAAAACATATAGAAACAATTCTTAGAACTCTGCCTTTTTCTTCAAACTCTAGATTTCTTTTATAAAAGTTTTGTTATAGAATACCTTCGTAGAAATTCGATGATATTATGATATGTTCGTGAATACTTAGTGGATTGATTTCGTTAGTGCAAAACCCAATTAGTCACTGGGCTTTATTGTATCCTCAAAGTTTATTGTTTGTAATCCTTTTGCACACATACTAATAAAATAATACAGTACGGGCAAATAAAACATTAAAAAAATTACACTATTATACGCCTTGGAGCCTTTTCCTAAAATTTCGGATTTACCAGAAGCATTAATTCCATATTTTTAGTGTTTGCTCTAACAATCTTAAGATTTTATTCGGTTCAACAATGGCTATTGAAGCAACACTAAGAGAATTGGCTTCTAGTTTTGTCAAATTGGATTGCTTTGATGGTGACAATTTTCAAAGATGACAGAAGAAGATGCATTTTTTGCTTTCAACTTTGAAGGTTGTATATGTTATAACTACTCCCGGGCCCAAAGAAAATGAAATAAAGAATCTATTATTGCAACAAGAAAGAGGTAAAAATGGGATAATACAGACTACATGTGTAAAGGTTATATTCTGAACGATCTATCTGATAGCCTGTTTGATACATACTAAAACGAAGCTACTACAAAGGAGTTATTAGACAAATTGAAGACTAGATATATGATTGAGGATGCAACAAGTAAGAAATTTCTCGTTAGTTATTTCAATAATTATCATATGATTGATGGACATTTTGTGATTGAACAAGTGCATGAAATTGAAAGAATGCTTAATCAGTTTAAACTATATAATATAAGTTTGGATGAAATAATTATTGTGTCTGTTGTAATAGACAAACTTCCTCTATCATGGAAAGACTTTAAAAGAAG